TTATTTATTTAAACATATTGGTCACCCAATTTCAGTGGCCTCTGGACCACTTTTTACAAAACTGAAAAACAAACAAATAAATCAGCTAAAAACATAAAATCAGACTGACGCCAGACTAAAATGATCTGATAAACAACAAGATGAATCAAACAAAAGAGGTAAAGATATGTTTTAATTAGAATGTGTGGGAATTATATTAAGAACCTTAAAGCTATTAAATAATTATGTTGTGCTGATTACATAAAACTTGAAATTTGAAACTTGAAGATTTATATTGTTAATAGAAAATAGATGGAAAAGAAATGATAAATGATAAATTGTTCATTTTTAAAGAGAAAGAAAATTTATATTTGTACATATTAAAAACTAGAAATGGGAAAATAGGAGAAAAAAAGAAATATGGCTAAAATTGGAAATAATGGAAATATAATGTAAAATGAATTATGTCTTTTGGTGGGAATGTTAAAGGGAGAATTCGTACAACACTCTGTTCACACAAATTTTTTTATTATGTAACAAAAATAAATAAAAAACTTAAAAAAAACGCACACAAAAAATACCAGAGACCATTGAAAAAATAATAAATCTCAGGCTTGGGGCCAAAACCAGGTTTTTAAAGCTTTCCAGAACCCCAGGAAAGAAGGTGTCATTTTTATCTGGGGGAAGTGAAGAATGTGCTCAGAGAACCGGTTGTTAAACCAGTAGAATCGTACAACTGCTTTTAATGCTGTCTCGCTGGATGTCCACCAACTCTAAGTCTGCCTCATTGTATTCCAAGCTCTTCTGGGTAATGGCCTCCACTCAAGGTAAAGGTAGCAGGAATATGAGAGGGAGAAAAGCAAGACAGAAAGATATGTAGACAAAGGAAGACTTAGAGGCCTTAGGAAGAATGGCTCTTACCAATTCGAATTCTGGTCTTAGTTCCGGAGCAGCAACTCGAGGGTGTGCAGTATTTTCTGCCCCACCCACAATCTTAGATAAAGTCAATTTCTTTTTGCGGTCTTTCTTCACTGCCTCTGCCTTTAGTTCTGAGTAGCGCCCAAACCCCTTGTTTCTGTACAATTTGGATGAATAAGTCTCCTCAGCCATCTCAGAAGTGGTTGGTTCTTCGTGCTCACGGGATTCCCTTTCTGGATGGGAAAAAAACAGAAAGAACATTTTCAATTTGTGTTTGGACTTGTTGCCATGTTCACCAATGCATTGGATTCCAAATGGCGGTCATATGATTTGGGAATACTGCAATTGTCATAAATATGCCGACTGCCGAGGACTCTAATTTTGATCACATGATCGTGGCGGTGCTGTAATAATTGTAATGTGAGGATCGGTCCATAAATCATTTTTTTCCAATGCTGCTGTAACTTCAAACAGTGGCTATGTGACTACTGGACCTAATTCAAACCCATAGACAGAGATCTATGCACTCAACTTTGACAACAGAATTTTGGGGAGATATAGTTTAGATGAATAGTTTTGACAATAGATACAGTATAGACAATCATTTAGACAAACTATTTAAAATAAAGACAACTATTAGAGTCAGGACAGGTGCTTAATCATCTTCTGTGAGTCTGCCTATGGAGTTGCTGCTTCCGTTTCTCAGCCCTTCTCAATCTAGCATCA